TTGGTGATCCACCTCGTGTATGCAGCTAGAGCATGTGTACCAGCTCGCTGGAAGCTATCCCTACCACCAACGGTGGCCATGTGGGTGGAGGAGACTCGCCTAATAGATTTGACATATTCCCTACATGATCGCTGCCAATTTGTGGCTACTTGGTCCCCATGTGTGTTTGTCGTAATTTCAAAGATATTGGTAATGACAATATACAAACAGATTGTTCTAGATAATTGCAGACTTATTCTTTGCATGCCCTATTTTTCTTTTCTTCCCCAATCTTCACAGTGGCCATTTTTTACTAAGGGCAGATTAATACATCTCCCTTTACTTCCTGGAACTCTAGCCCGTGACCATCTCGGGGGATAAAAATGCCTTTCCAGAGATCTCATGAGATTAATGAGGTTCACCAGCAATGCTCTGTGATGTAACCTTCCCAGGATGCATATGTGTGGCCAGAGCTAAATCATCTGTGCCTCATTCAAACACCAGGAAGTGGAAAAACTATTCTAAGTAAAAGAAACTGATGTTTAACTAAATGAATACAAGATCATATATCAGCATGCAGAGGTGAGTTTTAGTGGAAGGGGTCAAAGACAGCCGCCTAAGGGAGGGGTATGGGGAAGAGTTCACCTCAATTAGACCAGGCTTTGGATTAGTAAGATGATTCTCATCCACTATTTAAGACTCATGTCAAGCGGGCGTAGTTTGTGTTTTTGGTGAAATCTAAAACTTGTCTTGCTTTTTGTTGATTCTTTTTCCTAGTCATAATGTGAAGGCTTTACATACAGTGAAGCTGCGATGCTGACCTTGAAAAGCAGTTCATGTAACTAATCGATTTTGAAAATAATCGTTAGCTGCAGCTCTAATGTCTTGTCAGTAAGACTGCTGTATTTTAAGCTCTGACAATTCAGGAGTGGCAGAGGCTCTCAAGTAACTAACTACCCCGGCATACCCTTCCCCAGGGTATCAAGCTGTTGCCTTTAAGGAATTTCTTGAAGCAAAGACCTTCAACCCCTTTCACAAAATACAGGAAAAACCATAAGCACGCTGACATGAAATTTTACATTCAAAATGGTTCCCCTTTTACTTACAATTACCATTTTTCACTTTGAGTGTGGCACTGGAGATGTGTCCTTGGCCTCACATACATCCTGGGAAGGTTACAACACCAGTGCCTTCCAGGGAAATCTTTTCAGCGAACTACAAAATCTCATGGGATCTCAGAGAGGGGGTGGGGCAGATTATGTGCACCATCACATATTCCAGGAGGTAGACCCAGAGTTCTGGGAAGGGAGATGGATTAATCTCCCCTCAGTAAAAAGGGATTCAAAAAATAGATTAATATTGGGAGGAAAATAAAAATATGGTATACAAAGAATAAAAAGCCGGCAATTATCTAGAAGTATGTTTGCCGACAGCCATCGCTAAACACTTCTAAATAGGTGCCTTTGCCTTTATTTGTAAGATAAGGGGGAAGTTACTCAAACTTTCTGCAACCACTGATTGTGTGTGGGAGACTCCCTCTACATGAACAGATTCAGATGCTCAATACAGGCGGAGAAGAGTCTGCACTGCTGAGACTGTAAAGCATCCCAGGCAGTAGCCAGAAATCCTCCTGACATCAGGGCCAGAAGGGAGTAGTGTAGCCTGTCTGGTACAGAAAGTCTAAGACACTCACAGCCATGTCAGAGGTTAAAGTCCTGGGAGAAAAAAAAAGTCAATCCTTCTGTCAGAATTACATGTTCGGATTGCTGCTAGAGAAAGCTGTATTCTGCTGCGGAGACAACCTGATTAGACTTTTGCTGCAAGCGTAAAATAAAGGTGGTGTTAACCTTGCGATTAACCTTTTGTCAGCAACAGCACTGTACTTTCTCCTATGACATTACTGAGCGTGTCAGGCTTCCTGTTCCAGACAGCCAGCACCACTCCTTCTGACCCGATGTCACCAGGGTTCCTGGCTAGGTGTAGTACAGGGTGGGAGGTATTCCAGGGACTGCAGAAGAACACAGCTCTATAGCAGTTATCCAAAAGGGAGTACAAAATGCACACCAACACAGGAAAACCATGTCCATCGTGAGTAGGTCATACTTTTTAACAAGCCGGAATGCAAAAATAATCTGACATACACTGAATTGAAGGTACAACTGAACGTCACTAAATGAAGACGTGACAGTTTGTCAAAAGCGTACGGATATGCAGAAACATACTCTGACAAGCAACCAGCTACAAAAAACAGTGTTCCTCAAGCTGCATCATCCACAAGTTTCATGATCAGCAGGAAGAAAAAAGTCTGGGTGTGCATTTATAACCTATGTTATGCTCAGTACATCAAACCATTAAAAAAAGTGATGTCAACCTTGATAATGTAAGTGGTGTAGATATACAAACGCTACACTTATACTAGCAAATCAAATAAGCTAAAGTGTTCTGAAGAGCTAGACTGATCTATCAAAGAAATGAAGTAAAGCTGTTCGATATAGCAATGCAGGCAACTAGAGGTCTAGGACAGGAAACACACCCACTTTCACGTCTGTAGTACTCTGCTGCAACGTTTGCTGACATAGTACATCCGCAGCATGCTCGTTACTGCAGTGCCACAGACAGCAGGATTTATACAGCTTCATAGATTATTGATCCAGCAAGACCACATGGCACCACTCCTGCACTGCTCACATCAAGGCAGCACAATGCAGCATTGTACAGAATAGCAGTAACAAAATATATACATCATGGATTGAACAAAAACCCAGCACAAGCTTTTTATATGCTAAATGGCACAATGCATCACCAATTCAAGGATCTCACTAAACATAAAATCCTGACATATTACCCATTTCTTTTCATCAAGCTATGCAAAACTGAAGGAGGGTAATTGAAGGATATGTTGAGCATTAGGGTAGCAGCTATGAGAGATCCTGAAAGCTCAGCTATGATGTTTTATGAGAAAGTGATGTGTGGCAATACAGAGTACTGGCAGTACTAGTTATTGGCACACCAAAAGGCATTGCCTTGCAAAAAAAAAAAAGTGAAACACGTTTCTGAATTTGCTGCGTGAGCTACTTTTTCTTTTCATGTTTGGCACACGTATAGCACCCGCTGAAATTAATGTGGACGCCACAACGTGTGTTCCCACTATGCAATGGTGTGAATGGGGCCTTAAGGTTCCCTTTAGTTGTCAATGGAGCATACATACATAAATTCTGGTTACGAATTAGAAAGACTGGCTCCTAAATTCCATATTAATTTATCCAGTATAGTAATCTATGACAGGAAACGTATTACTGGCAGATCACCAGGTGAAAATATAAGTAAAACTAAAATGTAATAAACCAATTATATCCAAGGATGGGCAATCTTCAATACATTTGACCCCTTTAGGACCAAAGAGCAGAGCTGCCCCTTCGAAGCTAATGACCTGCAGTTTAGAGTCGATGTGTGACAATTTCAATGCTCAACCGCTTCAAGCTCGCTCCCATGATGGACTACAATCTCAAGAATTAGTAAACTAAACATGAGATTGTAGTCCATCACAGGAGTGAGCTCGTACAGCCGGCGGATCGCTTGTATGTTAACGGGCATCGCTGTCGGTTTTTAATTATGTGTCTTTCCCGCTCGAGTGCACGGGACTAATGGGACGTGTATACACGCCCAGGTAGCTAAGGAAGCCAAGTGGCGTGTAAGGACTTTACGGCCTTGCTTCCCGATTGGCGTATATTGACGTGCCGCATGGCTTCCCAATTAGCCGGGACGCAGTCTCCATGCTCTCTCGTCACCAGTAGACAAGGAAGCATGGAGCCAGCTTTCTAGCCAATCAGGAGGGTGGGTGGTGGGAAATGACTCACCACCTGGCTTCCTGATACCAGAAGTTCCAGTATCAGAATAGGCATCGGGAGCATTTGGGCAAGGGCAAGTACTCGTCCATATACTCAGTATCAGCATCCCTAGTCAGCACAAATACAGAGATGATTTGAGCATCGACAGCTAATACACAAAAAGGTTACATCAAATTATTAATAGTTAAAGGTACTTGAATGCATATTTAAAATTTAACTCCAGAGTTGTCACTTAAATAAAGCAGTAAGTGTGACTTTCATCTGTCAATTGTGGTGCTTCACTGACATTTCAAAACACATGCCCCTAGAAGATTCCCCTGCAGTGAATATGCTCCCTACTCAATTATTTTGCCAACTGAAGTCCCTTCACTCCATAATAAAATGCCATAAACTATGTCCTCAAGACTAAGGCTGGGTTCACACGTAGGCGTATCGAATATGCACATGTGTAGTGCATTTCGCGCCGCGCATTCCCGAGGGCTACATGGATACGAGCGGGAAATACTCCCCAAAGAAGCTCCTGTACTTCTTTGGGCGTAGGCCGTTCTGCGCGCTGTAAAACGCCCAGGTGGGAACCATGCCCTTAGGCAATCATTGGTTTTCACATGTTGAGCGTTTTACAGAGCGTAGGAACGCGCTGTAAAACGCTCGTGTGTACCAGGCCTTAAATAATTAGTTTGACAAACCTATGAAAAACCGGGACACATTATAAGAGCCCAAGTTTGGCCAGTACAAATTTACTACGAATTAATTAACTCACACAAACTAGAAAAAAAAATTTCATTATCCTTGGTCCATATAGAAACGGCACTAGATTTTCAGGTACCCCTAGTGTGCAGCTCCCACAGTTCCCATCAGGTGTGCAATATTTGTAACAAGACATCAGTTCGGCTAGAGATAATGACCAAATGAACAAACCAAAGACATTTAAATCTTCAAAACACAGGAGCAATATATGAAAGTTAATAAAATTGCTCCCACTATAAGAAGAAATTAGCAGTCCTTTAAATGCAGAAAATGACATTTTTAGGGCTTCTGAATTTCATTCACACAATCCATCACTTGACATAGGGACTGACCATACTCCTTAGACCCCAGTAAAAAACAACAAATAACTTCACTACAATAACCACGTTTGTTTGTGAAGCTTGTCAATGCCGATAACTAACTTACCAGAACAGCTGCACAAACATTCTTGAGCTCACTCTCGATTTTCTCCCGGTATTCTTTAATCAGCTGCGCCTTCTTTTCCGATTCACCCGACTTCTGCTCGATGCTGGAAATGACCCTCCAAGAGGACCTTCTTGCTCCCACCACATTCTTGTAAGCAACAGAAAGAAGGTTCCTTTCTTCATTGGACAGCTCCTCTCCGCATTCCGTTACAGCCTTCATGTTGGCTGCCATATCATCGTATCGCTCTGCTTGCTCAGCCAGCTTGGCCTTCTGGATCAGGTCGGTTCTTTCTGACATGGCTTCTGTGGGATTTGGTACACAGGAGGAGAAAAATCTGGGAAATCAAAGATGTGAAGGGCTCGACTGAGGAGTTGTAGCTGGACGTGTAACACAGGCAGGCAGCCAAACCTGTAAGAAGAGAGTAAACTTCATAAGACCATGCAAGGAAAAA